GGACCCAGGGCAGGATCCCAAGGCAATATCCCAGTTCCCCACAAGACTCAGGGCAAGATCCCAAGGCAATATCCCAGTTCCCCACAAGACTCAGGCAGGATCCCAAGGCAATATCCCAGTTCCCCACAAGACTCAGGGCAGGATCCCAGCACCCTGGGCAGGGTCCCAGTGCCCCACAGGCCCCAGATGAGGCTCCCAGTGCCCCGCAGGCCCTGAGGCAGGATCCCAGCACCCTCAGGGATGTGGGGATCCCCCGTGCTCCCCTTGGCAGCCCCCCCATCACCCCCCTGGTGCGGCGGGCGCTCAGAGCCGGGCGTACGGTACAACAACCCCCTGCCTCATCCCAACCCACGCTTCCCATCCCTTCCCCATTCCCTCAGACGACTCCGGCGACGAGTCGGTGTCGCAGACGGACAAGACGGAGCTGCAGAACACGCTGCGGATTCTGTCCAGCAAGGTGGAGGACCTGAGCACCTGCAACGACCTGATCGCCAAGCACGGCACGGCCCTGCAGCGCTCGCTCAGCGAGCTCGAGGCCCTGCGCCTGCCCCCCGAGAGCACCGACAAGATCAAGCAGGTCAACGAGCGGGCCACGCTCTTCCGCATCACCTCCAACGCCATGATCAACGTGAGGCCCCTTCCCCGGGGGAAACAGGCGGGAAAACCGGTGGGAAGCACTCTTCCTCCCCCCACCGCCACTCGTGTTCGGTTTTGTCCCCGCAGGCCTGCAGGGATTTCATGCTGCTGGCGCAGACGCACGGGAAGAAGTGGCAGAAGTCGCTGCAGCAGGAGAGGGATCAGCGGATCCGGCTGGAGGAGACGCTGGAGCAGCTGGCAAAGCAGCACAACCACCTGGAAAGGGCCTTCCGGGGGGCCACGGTGCTCCCTGCCGGCACGCCCGGCACCGGCGGCTCCGGGAAAGGTGGGATGGGACGAGGCTGCTTTCCCTGAGCTTCCCTCTCTCCACTGATCCCAGGGGGTGGGTCTGTCCCGCGTCACCTGTGCAGCCAAGGGATTCTGGCACCGATGGCACACTCCAAACTGGCTCCCTCTGGCACCCTGTGGAGTTGCCAGGGTGATGTGTGTGACCTCCCTGGCAAAGGCAGGATGGGGCAAGCCAGGTGTTCCCCAGCTGCTTTCCCCAGCCAGGCTCAGCTGCCCTCAGTCCCCTGATCCCAAGGGCTGGGTCTGTCCCCTGTCACCCAAGGGATTTTGGCACTTAAAACCGGCTCCAGAGTGGCTCATCTGAGCCTTGCCTGTGTGACCCCTGCCTGCTGGTGACAGGGGCCTCCCAGTGTCCCACTGGTGGGGAAACTGGGAGCGATGTCCCTTCCTTAACAGCACTGTCCCCTTCCCAGATCTGTGCTGCCCCTCCAAAGGTGACATGAGCGACGAGGACGACGACAACAACGAGTTCTTTGACGCCCCCGAGATCTTCCCCATGCCCGACATGATGGGCCACAAGTGAGTTCTGGGGGGCTCTGGGGGGCCCCCCACTACCTGCACCTCCTTGGAAGTGATCACCCTGTTTTCCACCCTTTCCAGGAGAACTGGGAGCAACATCAGCGGCACCAGCAGCGACATCAGCCTGGATGAGCAGGTGGGATGTGGGGTTTATGGCTTTGAGGTGGGAACAGGGCTGGGCTGGGGGTCCCTGAATTCCCACGGGGGGGTCTTGGGGGGTCACAGTGATGGAACAGCCCTCGGGGGAAACAGGGCTGGGCTGGGAGTACCCTAATTCCCACAGATGGGTTTTGGATGGTCATAGTGATGGAACAGCCCTTGTCTCTCCCCTCCCCAGTACAAGCACCAGGTTGAGGACACCAAGAAGGAGAAGAGAACCCGCATTCCCTACAAACCCAACTACAGCCTCAACCTCTGGAGCATCATGAAGAACTGCATCGGGAAGGAGTTATCCAAAATTCCCATGCCGGTGAGCGTGGGTACATCCGGCGGGTGGGCTCGGGGCTCCCCAAAAAGCCCCTTTTTTTGACCCATTTCTGCCTTGCAGGTGAACTTCAACGAGCCACTGTCGATGCTCCAGCGGCTGACGGAGGACCTGGAGTACCACGAGCTCCTGGACCGGGCGGCCAAGTGTGAAAATTCCCTGGAGCAGCTGTGCTACGTGGCCGCCTTCACCGTCTCCTCCTACTCCACCACCGTCTTCCGCACCAGCAAACCCTTCAACCCGCTCCTGGGGGAGACCTTCGAGCTGGATCGGCTGGAGGAGAGCGGCTACCGCTCCCTCTGCGAGCAGGTGTGGCCAGCCCCGCCCTCCCGGCCTCTCTTATTCCCTCGGGATGCCCAGCACTGAGCCGTTCCCAATCCCTGTCCAGGTGAGCCACCACCCCCCGGCCGCTGCCCACCACGCCGACTCCAAGCACGGCTGGACGCTCCGCCAGGAAATCAAGATCACCAGCAAATTCCGAGGGAAATACCTCTCCATCATGCCCCTAGGTGAGCATCCTGGGATTTTTGGGAGCCACCCGAGGCTCCGGGCGTGGTTCCCGACACAGCTCGTGCCCCACCCTCAGGTACCATCCACTGCGTCTTCCACTCGTCCGGCAACCACTACACGTGGAAGAAGGTGACCACCACCGTGCACAACATCATCGTGGGGAAGCTGTGGATAGACCAGGTGGGATATCACGGATATGGGAGCGCCCCGGCCCTGTATGGATGCCTTGGGAGCGGGGTGTGGGTGGGTCTGACTGTCACCTTGGCCTCTGCAGTCGGGCGAGATCGAGATCGTCAACCACAAGACGGGTGACAAGTGCAACCTCAAGTTTGTCCCTTACAGCTACTTCTCCCGGGATGTGGCGAGGAAGGTAGGGAAAACAGGGAAGCGCGGGGCATCCCGGGGTGCCTGTGTCCTGATTGGTGCCATCCCCTCTCCCTCCAGGTGACCGGGGAGGTGACGGACCCCTCGGGGAAGGTGCACTTTGTCCTGCTGGGCACGTGGGACGAGAAGATGGATTGCTACAAAGTCCAGCTGGGAACGGGGGACAACGGAGCCGAGGCCCGGCCGCGAGCCCACGAGTCCGAGGACAGCCGGGTGCTGCTGTGGAAGCGGAACCCGCTCCCGTGAGTCGGGGACGCGGGGGACGAGGCCTCTCCCGGGAGCGGAGACGCGGGGCCGGCGCTGAATTCCCCGTCCTTCCCGTGCCGCAGGAAGTACGCGGAGAACATGTACTACTTCTCGGAGCTGGCGCTGACCCTGAACGCCCCGGAGAGCGGGACGGCTCCCACGGACAGCCGGCGGCGCCCCGACCAGCGGCTCATGGAGAACGGGCGCTGGGACGAGGCCAACGCCGAGAAGCAGCGGCTGGAGGAGAAGCAGCGGCTCTCCCGCAAGCGCCGCGAGGCCGAGGCCGCCCGCGCCTCCGAGGACGGTAAGGAAGGGATGGACACCCCCACCACCACCTCTCCGGAGCCCCCCCGGGCCCTCACCCCCTCTGTGCCCCCCAGGGACCCCCTGCGATCCCTACAAACCGCTGTGGTTCGAGCGGAGGAAGGACCCGGTGACGCAGGAGCTGGCGCACGTCTACAAGGGGGGGTACTGGGAGAGCAAGGAGAAGCAGGACTGGAGCCTGTGCCCGGATATTTTCTGAGCCCAGCGAGGAGGAGGAGGAGGAGGAGGAGGAGGAGGAGCGGCAGGATGGGGGGGGATGAAGGCCAGGACCCCCCCCTCCTTCCGTGTCTGTCTTAAGCGCCCGCTGTCCCCGCGCCGGCCGGGCTTTGCCTTAGCCCACTGACCCACACTGACCTTGGGGAGCGGGAGCCAACACAGCCCCCCCAGAGCCGGGCTGGAACGGGGGGGTTCCCTCATCCTCCCCGGCACCCTGGGGTGGGGGGCACGGCCACCCCCAGGGTGGGGGGGTCCCCGGGGTGAGCCCGAGGCTGGCCTTGGTCTCTCCCCCCCTCCCCACTTTTCTTCCCGTCCGCCCCCAGGAGTTCGGGTGCTTTTGGGGTACGGGAGGGGCCAGACTCCCCCCCC